TATGTGGACCAACGAGCACGATGTCCTTGTGGCCCATGGCGCCCGTCACCTGGGTCACGTGCTGCTCTATCCAAAGGGCATGGCCTGGTGGCTCAGCACAATGGAAGGGTTTAACTCGGTTACGCTGATTATTCCGTCGGTGGGCCGGGAGGACGGCGGACGATATCGCTGTTGGTTTCATGTGGACGATGTGCTCGAAGAGTGGCTTATGTAAAGCGCTTTCATCGCAGTGACGGATTAAAGCAGCGATCATATTAAATCGCCGGACGGACGTCATAATTGACTTGTTGTTGCTTGGTAGTCGTTCTAATCACCGCTCCGTGTTGGTTACTCCGTTTCATTTAGCATAGCAGAGAAACGCCCGTTGAAAATTCTGCAGTGGTATGGATATCGTTATTATGAGCAGTAGACGCATCAGACATTTTGAGTTAACAGATTCGTGCAAAATGGGGTTGCATTAGTTTGTAGATGTGAAATTACCAGTTATCACCTTCCCGATTTTGCTCATATTCTGTAAGCAGATGATCTGTATCCATAAGCGTGAAAACCGTTTGTGTCCGCCACATCCGAAGCTGTAAGAAAATTCGAAAAAAGTTTAAATGCATTCAGGGGTACCAAGAATCTCATTATGGGCCCATCTCCTTTAAATTTTGCACGTAAACGAACATAAAAATGGACTCACGTCATGGAGATTATTTTTACAATGAATACCACCGTTCTAGCATTTTTCTAAAATTTTAAAATTACTTAATTTTAAAACTCCAAAAATTATTTGAAAAGAAAGGGGCAACTCTGGTTCGGTCGATTCGATGTAAAAACGCGCTTTTGTCATCCTGTTGTCATCCCCTCGTTACCTCGTATATACAGTACGTGCATTTATGTACGGAATTTAAAGTAGACCGGCCGATTATGAGACTTTTGGTACACCTGAGTGCGTTTTCACTTTTTCGTATTTTCTTACAGCCATAACTCCCGGATCGGATTTTGGGCGCACCAACGCTTTTCACGCTTGTGTAATAAAAAATCATCTTCCTACGGAATGTCTTATAAGAAAGCTGAAAAGTATTGGGGAGCGCGAGAAAGTAAAAGTTTGCGTCCATATACTCGATTTAGGTACCATGTACCGGGTCACTTTCCTTAAAATTTCACAATGCAGCACCTGAAGTTTCAGTGTTAACAGAATGCCACGAGAAACCTGGATGGATCGATTATAACGGCATCGAGCTTAGGACATGCTCGTACTTACTGTACAGCTTAGCTGAGAGAGTAGGCGTTCTGCACCAGCAAAAAGCAGTCGCGTTTTGCGGGCACTGCATGACGGACGCGTAGCAGGCTATACTATAGGAAAGAGTGATTGACACCACTTGTTTACCACATTTTACTGTAGCCGGTCCTCTTTGATCATTGATTTTAATGCTCGCACTGCGATTGGTAGAATTTTAGTGCAAGGACAAATGGAACCTCGGCGTCTGACCCCGGTTTGCACTTACGTAAAATTTTTGCATAAGTATTTGGATACCGTAAAAAGATTATAATTTATTTGGCTCCCGTCTGATTGCCAATACAGAAACCAGTAGGTGTCTTCCTGAACGGAGACGGTGAATGGCGAGGACTGCGCTCCAACTGCATCGCGGACGGGCGAAGAAAGTAAGGATTTGCCGGTACGCCCGTCCAAAAGTGTGAGTAAATTCGGCGTAGTAATACTGGACGGCCGGCACCAACCTATATACTGGTTCGGGGTTCCGTTATTTGTTTACTTTCCGCATTAACAAAATTTCCCCACGGAGAAAAGGATCTGTAAGAAATCTGAGAAATAGAGAATTTATTTAGAAACTCAAGAAGCCTTTAAATATAAGCACAGATTCTGAGAAAAACTAAGAAACCTAAGAAGTCAAAACGCCGGCCGATCCGCCGGTCAAAACATCGGCAGAATTTCTTGTGGTCAAAATGCCGGCCGAAGTTTTTGGGAATTTTTAAGTTAATGTTATAGTGCAAAATACTATCATTTGTACGTACATGTGCCGTACAAAAGTAATAATAATATCTTTATCGACGCGCGTGTAGAACTGCGTAGACAGCTTGTAAAGAGCGCTCCGAAGAGAATGCCAATTCCAGAGCCGAACAAAAAAGGACAAATAATGTGCTAAACCAAGGCACAACGGCAGTAACATCTGATCTGTGATCTGATCCCTTTAGAGTCTCAGAGATGTTAGAATTTTTTTCAGTCTTCAACGGGCACGGCCGACTCTGAGGAACGATTTTCTACGCGCAGACGTATACAAAAACGCGTTCGTTGATGTATTTTAACGGCAAGAAACGGCAAAACAGGATAACATATATTTATACGCTATTGAAGTATTTCGTAACGCATGTTTTCGTGATTTTTTACCACAACATAACAAAATTTTCAACTCCCCAGCTGGTTGCGCAACGGAAACCCTGACAACCCCTTAAAAAATGCGATTAAAACAAACTATTTTTTGTTTTTTATGGGGTGGCAGCCAGCATGTAACAAACATTTTTTTACCCCTTGCCCTATGTACGGATAACTCGGAGCAACGAAAAGTACTACCACTTCCCTACAACCAACATACATCACAAACATTTTGCCGGCGTTTTGATATATATAGGCCTGTCCTTTGTACTCTTGTAGTGAATATTAATTTGTTAAGTTTTTCAAATGTTTTGTATTTACTTGGCGTATACAGTAACAGGTTGCACTTTTCCCATGAGGTAACAAGGGTCGTATCGTAAATCCGTATACAACGGAGAAATCTGCGAACCATACTCCACAGTTAAAGAAAAAACCGGTTACTAAAACTCCGATAACGAGATTCGTTCCTATGCGCAATTTTCAGCTAGCGTCCCTCCATTATGTATAATGAAACGGAGTGCTTTGATTGGAGCGCTGTGATTGGAGTCAATACCAAGCAACAAATCTATAGAAATACTTCCGGCGATTATTGCGAATCTACTCCGTCACTGTGATGAAAGCGCTTTGCATGAGCCACTCTTCTAGCACATGGTCCACCAGACTCCACCTGGAACCAACACCGATACCGTCCGCCGTCCTCCCGCCTCACCGACGAAATAATCAGCGCAATATAGCAAATCGCCTCCGTTGAGTTTAGCCACCAGGTCATGCCCTTTGGATAGCGCACCACGTGATACAGGTGACGGGCGCCATTGGCCACAAGAATATCGTGCTCGTTGGTCCACATAATCCGCGTTTCCAGATCGCCCAGTATTCTATCAAATTTCACGTGGCAGCGCAGCTCCACGCGCTCACCAATCCTGGCGGAGACGTTGTGCATGGGCGGAGTAAAGAGCTCCTCCGTGGTGAACATCGCACTTATCAAATAACGCTGACTGCCGAAGACATCGGCGCCGCTGTTCCACCGGCACTCGTATTCCCCGGTACTGGCGTGGGTGAAGTTCTTCAACGTGATCTTGGCGAATGTGGAGTTGTGCCCCTTGACATTGAAGCCGACGGACGGTAAAGTGGTGTTGGTGCATCCGCAAGAGGTGCCGCCGTGAATGGTTTTAGACTGGTTGCCAAGGGTACCCGCTCGCGTGTACTTCCTTCCGTTCCATCGCACCGCCAAAAAGCTGTCGTCATCAGGTATGCGCGTATGTGTAGTACGGTTGTCGTGGCAATCAAACGTCACCGGCACCCTCTCGACTGCCTTAATTAGGATGGTTTTGGCAAGTGGAGGCGAAGGAGGATTGCGCAGGCTGTACAGGTGTATTGTCCCGTTCGGGTTTTTCAACAGCGCAGCCTCTAGTCGCTCCAGTTTTATTTAAAAAAACCAGGCAAAGTATTCTTTATTTCCTACTTGTGCAGACCATGCAATGGGCCAGTATGTTAATGGACTGGACTCACTGGAGTGCTGGACTAACTAACAGTGGGCCAGCCAGTTTCTGCATGATGTCAGTGGCTTTCTGGTTTTTAATGTTTGATGAGTTTTTTTGATTCAACGGACTATCAGCATTAGTTTCGGAGAGTTTCCCTAAAACATGGCTTCAAAAAGATTCATATACACTGGCGTGAAAAGCGTTTTCAGTGCAACATCCAGCTGCAGCGTTCTCTGCTTCGCATGCGGCTGTTTTTTAACAGATCATAGTGGTAAGCTGGAAATCATGATTACGGTGAACTAAAAAAGATGTGAGCAAGCTGTACTGGACACTGGGTGAATGCCAGGCACCAGGTACAGTTTGCCGCACAAACGGAAATAATAATTGTACGAAATAACGCGCAACGGGCTGTGCATTTGAAATTGCCCATCGACCATGAGTTTACTATGAACTGAAAATGAGGTTTACGGACGTTTACCCCTACAGACATTTTCGGACGTTAAAACGTTTTATGAATACGTACATGTGTCGTATGTATTATGGATTAATGCAAAATTTTAAGTTGATATTGCTGCGCCAATAATTTTAAATTCTGCTTTCCTTACTTTCTTCTCGGCTTAGCCGACTCGTCACCGGGCAACCAAAAATAGTTAGGCATAAATGGCAGGCAACAAATACATGAATAATATAACAGATGGCAGCAAAGTTGTCCAGAAGTTGGAAAATTGATTGGCAGCACCGTAAACAATATTAAAGTGCCGTAATAATATTTACAGTTCATTTACGTGTATAAAAATAGTTACTAACATGAGTGTGGGGGAAATGTATGCCAGTGACGCAAATGTTGCTAAGTCAAAAAGCGGCAGCTATCGCATTATTTTCTTAATGTAGGTAATCGGTAAATATGTAAGACGCGGGTGAAATTTTATCCTGTAGCGAACCACAGATTTTCCAAAGTTTTTCTAATGTGTGGATTAGGTGCGCATGTAATATTTTCCACAACACCTGCTACATAAACATAATCTATCTTCCTGCGAATTATGAGATTTTTCAGAGTTTACACGTGAGAAGTGAGCTGTGAGCAGGAGAACCTAATTTTTGTATTCAAGGCTGGTAGTACATCATGTCATATCTGTATACAGATTTTAAGCACGCGGGCATTCCCTCTTTCGATAACTAACGCCGGATAACAAAAAAATGGTTTTCCCATCAGTAATCCACTGCGAGACTTTGCTGTACTTGCTTATGATTCCTCGTATAAAATGCTCGGTACTTTATTTATTCACAGATTTTCGCAAAAAGTCACCACTTCCCGTTGTGCCCATGTAAGCGGACCACGACTGCTTCGCAGCTGGTAAAATTTGACCGTTAGGATAACACTGTAATCGTTTACGATACACAGTCATTGCACCCATTTTCAGTTCAAATAAATCCCGATAGCTCTCAGCTTCCTCCACTGGCACACCCAGTCTCGCGTTTACGCATTCCGCTTCCAGCCGCATTTGTGTCTTTGCGTCAATCTCTGCAAGAATGACCGTTTTACCGAATATTTTATACCTAAAAACAAATTTGGCTACTTTTTCTGATCAGGTATAAAATTTACCAGTTTTTAACACAGCAACCTTCTGTCGAACACATTCTTCATCCTGCGCCAGAACCACCCGAGTTTTCGTCGGATAGAACACGTACGTCGCAAACACCAAATCAATCTGACCAGGAACTCCTTCTGCCAAGCTTCCCGTGGAGATCAGCCGCTGGATCCCGGCTTCATCATGCGCACCCACATGTCGACGAGGTCGCGGCTTCTCCGGCACCCAATCGGGATGCGTTTGCAGGAACCGCTGCCCAATGGCCACCGTATCAATAATTCCTCTGCGTTCCAGGTCCTCCACGGTCCGTGAATCGTAGACCACGATTCCCGGTGCCCCGGTGTGACGGTTAATGGCGTACATCCGGGTGTAGCCATGGCTGTTGAAACGCAGTCGGCAAAAGTCCGCCCGGCTTTGCTGGTGGACCTTGGTTCCCGTGGCGAAATTAAAGGTCGACGGAGATTGGGAAGTGTTGGCGCAGTCCGACTGCCAGTACAGGAACCAGTCGGTATCGCCTTGGATGGAGACGGTAAGCGGCGAGGACTGCGAGCCAATTACATCGCGGATGGGCGAAGAGAGTAACGGTTTGCCAGTGCGTCCATCCAAAATTGTGGATTCGGCGTAATAATACACTGGATAACCGGCACCAACCTATAGATTTTGAATGTTCACTTAATTTTGCTCGGTTGTACTCGTACATTGAGAATATATGAGCAGAAACTGTTAAGAAATCCAGAAAATCTAAGAAATTAAGCAAAACTAGGGAAATTTTTAGATGGAAGCGCAAATTATGTATGTGAAAAATCTAAGTAATACTAAAAATTTCAGAATTTAAAAAGCTTCAAAATGTGCGAAAAAATCTTGTTTAATTTATTGTAGGAAGCCTAACAACTCCTTGAAGCCTCAAACATGATTACGAATTCTGTGCGAAATGCAAAAGGATCTTATTTATGAGAACCCAAGAAAATCAAAAATTTATAGAGCTGGAACAACAGACAGACTGTGTTTACCGAGTACTTAATAAAGAAATCCGGAACGTTATCCTCGTTGTAATACCCCGCCGCCGGCGTGCTATACGTCTCCCCATTCAGCGTAGTATACCGCCAAATAATCTTCAAACTGCCACCATCAATTGCCACCACCGTCGAATTAAACATGGCAATCACGATATCCACCACAAAATCGTTATTAATATCCACCAGTACCGCCGGAACCATGAAGCCTTTATGGGGATCGGAAAGAATGGACACGACCCGGTCCATGCGACCGGCTAAAAGGTACTTCATCTCGATCATGTACAGATGACCGCCGTGCGTTTCTCCACCGGTGCCGAAGAGAACACGGGTCTCGCCTTCTGTTGGCTGGTAGATTTGTGGAGAGCAGTACGTCTCGCCACCGTCCGGCATCGATACCTTGAAATTTAACCCTTAAAATTGAAAAAGTAAGACGATTATCGGGAAACCTGTTGAAGAATGTTCCCGGTTCTGCCCGATAGGATGTACAGCAGTCCCGGTTTGGTGACGGGTTGGTTAGGAGCTCGCAGCGGGTCGCCACCATGGCTGGAAATAATGCAAAAAATGAGCAGCAGCACGACAGACGATTCGGAAGCAGGGCGAGCAAAGCGAAATTTTATTAAGGTTCTGACTCGAAAATGACATGCTAAGCCTCTTTTTAGGGAGTCTCGCTCGCTTACTCCCACTTCCCAAGGGCGGTAGGTGAATTACTGAAAGCTAAGGTTAATTACCTTACTAATAAATCCGGGACGTTGTCCCGATCAGTGTCGGCGAGAACTTGAGCTGTGTAAAAATTAGCAAGATCCGTGCTTAAGACCGGGAAGGTCCAGAGGCGAGATCCGTTCCGGGAATCAATTGCCAGCAGCACCTGCAACATGCAGTACTGAAATTTGCTCGTTCCCTTTGCTTGAATCATAAAATAATACTGTAATTCATGTAATAACGCTCGTAATTAAATAGCCAGGATGGCCGACCAATAAACGCAATCACCGGTGCTATCACATTATTAGTACAATACTTACGTAAGAATGTTGACATACTGTATATTATTATTAGGTAGGATTTTATCAAGTACTTACTGAAATGTTTAAATGTTTATATACATAATCAGTATTTTATTTTTTATAGTTCTGTTTTCATGTGAATAATTTAATTATGCACTTTAATCAATAATAAGGTTATTTGCAAAATTTAATAAACAAATTTTGTACCCCAGCTCTTCCTCCTGCAACACAGTCCTTCGCGCCATCCCCGTTCAAATCCGCATTGCAATTTAACGCGAACACTTCATGTTCCGTGTTGGCCTGCCACAGCAGCGTCCCGTCCCGCCCATCCAGCGCCATGACACCGCCGAAACACGGATGCTGTCCGTCAAAGTAGATATCACAGATGACAGCCGGTACGTTGTACCCATCACCACCTGTCAATTGAAAACAGAATCAAAACACCCGCGAACAGAGTTAGCTGTATTGCGACCGGCCTGTTGCAAACCCGGAAATGACGTCATCGATCCCGTCACCGTTGACATCCAGCATCCGGATGGTTGATTCCGTGAGGAGTCTAGCAAAGGTGGCGTTCCAGATATCCGTGACCTTTAGATCGGTACATCCGAGGGGAAAGTTATCGGTTGTTGTGCGTTTTCTCCGATGGATAAATGTCTCCCAAGGAAAATGCTCCGGCACAACGCAGCCGGTTTCGTTGCAGTGCAGTCCGTATTCGGAATGATAATCGTGCGTTAAGTCCATGACCTTCAAGTAGCAACACATAATCGCGTGTAATCATATGATGGGAGTACAAATTTGCACCGTGTGTATACGTGTGTTTCCCTGAGGAAAATTTTAACTGCCGGGAAATTATTGTCAGAAAACACGATAATGAATACATGTTTTCCAAAATGCTTCTTGAAGTTTTTATTTCAATATAGCTGTCAAAAATTAATGAATATTCATGTACTAAATAATGTCTTGTGCAACACTAATTTTTACCAAAGCCGATTTATGAAAAGCAGCTGTAAATGCGATCGTGATACGGTCGAAGATATACGATATGTTAGATCATATGTACAGATACATTTTACATCTGCAGTTATACGATATGTGCTGTTACTGCTTACGGGAATTACTGATCTAAATAATTTCTTTCTATAATTCAGTGGTATCACAGATACGCCGGGCGTGAATTCACAACGGTTAATTTAACGCCCCATATTTAAATTACACCTTAGTATTTTTTTATTATTAATTTTTTTATGGCATGATATATAAAATGTAATCTAGTGATATGACTGTAAAGAAAAAAACAGCCATAAGAATGCTGCTACCGTTGTACGGCCCGCACCGCGTACCAAAAATATAAAGTTTATTAATTTATTAAGTTTTTTATTCAATCAATAATTTTAAAGACGAAAACAAAACAATACTACTGTGTACAAAGTACATACATTTATCTGATATACCTCGGCAGCCGATAGACCCAGCAGATCCCGGTGTTTCGCGATCAGTGGCGAAAAGAGGGACAAAACAAAAGCGGCGAATACCACCGCCAACAGCAGGCCCAGACACCAGCGGGTCACTGTGTGGCAGAAGTGTGCGCGCCGGCTCTCATCCGTATCGCGCTGCAGCATCAGCACGCGGGCTAGCTGCAGACGCTTCTGGTCAGCCGGCAGTGCTGGCGATAGGATGGCGGTTAGTCCGGTGGATGTGGACGTCAGGGAGGGCGGGTCAATTGTGCACAGCGGAATGGACTGGGTAAAACGGACTGTGCGTTTGGGAATTATCGGGATTTTCTCGTTGGATTTGTCATCACTGTTTACCGGCATTTTTTAAAGCTTTATACAGTATTCAATATAAAAAATTATGTAAAATTTATAACGAAATATACTAAACGAAATATGTAACAACGATATATAATAACGAAATATACTAAATGAATTAAGTTTTGCAAGAAATAAAGTCTCAAACGTCGCTTTCAGAGAAATAATCCCAGCCAGAATAAACTATTTTCAAGGTTCATGAATGAAGAAAATAAATTTCACCAAGCCATAATGACGGTTTCTACATCAGTAAGTTAAAAAAAAATTTCGAACACCATTGTTCAGATAAAATTGGAATGCGTTTAATTATGTAATTTCGATAAAACCAGAATGGTTTACTAGCCATCATAAATTACTTTAAAAATTCGTTAATAAAAAATAAAACGCATCAAGAAAATCTAAGTGAAATTTTGATGAATAAGTTAGAAAACAAAATAACCAGCACCGCAGTACCGCTTTCAGATAAAACTGGAATATGAGCAAACTCTGTATCTGTATACGCAGCGAATAAAACATTTCGCTGCCGGTACAATATATGAAATAAAATTGCAAACTGCAGTTATACGATATCGACACTAGCGTGATTTTATTAACAGGTACAGATACTTCCGGGTGTACGATTTCCCAGTGATACGTTAATTAGTGTCGGCTCAGTTTATTGCTGTATTACCCAGAAATCTACCTGCCAGCAAAACCGCAATTCACGTCGCATAATAACGCCGGTATTGATTTTACATTGTCATTCGTGTGCGTTATGTTCTGCATTTACGAGCTGTATTTACAAAATAAGCAAGCGCTCGTTTCGATACATCCAGATAAAACACTGACCACTGTCGTGCTTCACCCGTAAAACGTACAGCGGAATTACATCATTAGAAAATATGCAAGTTGTACTTAACATTTTTTGGGCCGCTTAAGTTTGCGCAGGATGTAACATTTACAACATACGGATTATTCCAGTTGGCATCTTGTGATGTTTTGACGCACCGTTACATAGCTTTTTTCGGCCAGCTCTCTTTCTGACCAAATCGATACGCCTAACACAAACACCACCACCGACCGAGTAAAACGGCATTCTTTCTCCGCGGTCCGGGCCTAATTATAGCCGCGGCAAAACACTTTTCCCTTGTTTTTCCCGATGGAAAGTATGAATACATGCATGGGTCATTCAACCGCCTCCCGGTGCACCGCACACGGTCATAAACATTTTCACCATACTCATCGCCGGCTAAAAATAGCAGCAGGCCAAAAAGTTTACCATATGTATCCATATTCGCTGCAGCGGAACGCGTTTGGATACATTCCGCTGAGCCGACAGTTTGTGAAACGCAGTGCTGCAGTAATTTTTATTGCTCGGGAGATTGTTGTTTGTACTGCTCGTTTAGAGCGTCAGTGTATACACACTTCGTGTTCTAATTGCCAAATATGGCGCAAAAGCCCACTCCGGTCATTAAGGAGCCCGAGAAGAGCGAATGGGTCCCCGGCAAAGGTCGTGCGGTAAGGAAAACTGTATTTTAGTACAGGAAAATTATTATAAGGCGTAATTTAAGGAGCTATGAGCCTATGACATCATAACCAAACTAATTAATCAACCTAACTAATCATAACCTTTGCTAATTAAATTATAAGAATCGTTACTTGCACGAATGTTTGCTTAATATTTAAAAAAGTGACCTTTTAAATACCTTAATACCTGAATAATTTTTAACTGCTTTACGTTGATACATTATTTCAAGGAAAAGACTGGTTTTAAAATGTATTATTTTTATAAATCATTTCGGGAAATAAATTTTTTAATTGAAATTTTTTATTTACTAAATCAGTTTATCATTAATTTGGAGCTGTCTTTTGTTGATTGCTTACTCTGTTCATTCCAGAGAATTTTTTTCGACGCTATTATTTTTTAAACAATGTACACCCGCTGGATGTATCTACACGCAGCAACACGCTCATTTTACAGCACAAAAATTTTATAGAAGAGTGTCTATGAAATATTGTGGAAGAGTGGATAGTCGGTGGATGCTACGGTGGTCACACCATTTAGCAAATTATCTATTAACAGATGTTTATAGCATAGAATTGTTTCATTAAAGTTACAAATTTTTATTTTTTACCTTGTTTAATACAGATTAAACATTCGAATAAAACCGAATTTTATACCCAATCGGTTAATGCTACCGTAGAATTATATAGACGAGGTCATGAATAAGATTTACGTTCACCAGCAATCTCGTGTTACCTATCGATCACACAAATATGCTTTGTATGTCTTAGGACGCCGAGCGTGCCGTGGACAATCTGAAAGAGCGACGCGTGGAGGAAGGTGATGAGTTGTCGGAGGAGGAGAAGTTTCTGCGGATGTCGGATACGGAGCGGCGTAAGAGTCTGCGCACCAACGACGATGATGCCGCCTACCAGAACTTTCTGAAATCCACCGGCTCCTTAGGACGTCAGAGCTTCTCATGAATAAAACGCTACTGGATACTTCTGGATGCCCCTGTGTGTTCTTTGCCTGGATTGCCTCAACCATCCCAAAATTGTGCCCTTCCTCTCCTTTTATCGTTGGACGATCATGTACCCTGGATTTCCTTCCTTGTGCCCACTGATCGAATACTATTATACAGTCGTTGTTGTTCTTCAGTTTAGTTTTTTCTGTTTTAAATTCGACGGTAATAATGTGCGGTAGAATGCTGGAAACAAGATCTGTTAAGCGCCGTAAAGCGTAACGTTGTATACAGTGTACGTGTCATCCTGAACGTTTTTGTAATTGCTGGTAACAAGAATATTATCATCATAATCCAACAGCCAGGTTCTTTGTGAAATTAAGTTATTAACGCTTACAGAATCTGAACGAGCACCTTCGAGAATTGGGTACGCTATACTTGCACAGATGGGGAAACTCGTCGGTTTCGAGCGAATTTTATTTCGCTCTGTAGAAAGACCCTGAGAAACTTGAATATGTATCGACAAATAAAGCACCGAAAACCTTCATGTAGCAGCTGTAAAACTATTGATACGCCGTGGCATGTGTGCAGTCAGAATCTGTGCGCAGTAAACTCTTAAATCGTTTATAAAAAAATTTCCGGAAATACCCGCCACGTCACTGCGCATGATATTGTTAGTGCACAACTGCGCATAATTCCAGGAAGTCACCGGAAACACTTGAGCGATCTGCATGTGATCCTGGATGAATAATTATGAACGTCCTTGCCGAATGATGATTGAGCAGGGTATCTGTTCAATTCTGTTCCTTTCATGCCAGCGCTTATGACGAAGCAGTGTACAACCAACAGACTTATGCGTACTGTTTATCCAAGAACCAACAGTTAAAAAACCTCTTCCCAGATTTCTGTACGAAATTGTGTCTGACATGAAATTCCCAAAATACCGCAACTGCTACACCGGCGTTGAGATGGTAATCTTGATTCGTGTTCTGACGGTGTAAAAGTCTTCTCTTCCGCGATAAGTTATTATTGTGCGCTGCATAAAAATTATGTACTCTGTACATGCGCATATAATTATTTGTACTTCTACTCGTACTATCGAGTATCGTTACACACCGTATTTCTGCGTATGTCACGGTTCAACATTCTACATTGATTTCAAAAGTACTGCAGATTTAGTTACTGAAACAGCGAATCTGCAGGCAAGAAAAGCGGACGTGTGGATAGGAAGAGTACTGTGTGTACCATCCTGTAACACAACACAAACGATAAAATTGATGATTGTATGCACTGGTGTATGTACATCGCACATTAACTGCCCAGTTAATAATTTGTACGTGTGGTTGCACAGTTTTTTATAAAGCTTGTCACATTTCTGCATATTTCTTGAAATGTAGCTTTTTGTTTGTTTATGGGAGACTATTAATAGAGTAATAATAATAAGTAATGTAACAAATAATGTACGAGTTCACAATGGTGATAAACGACATACACACAATATAAGCAAATCTGGAAGAGTTTCCTCGGTAAATAATCATATCGGTGTGCAGAATTGCAGATGTAAACCCCATGTATAACCTTTGTCTAGTGTTGGATTACGAAGCTGATTCACATAGCCTCTGAATTGTTTTGCTTACAACGAACGGGGGATACTCTAGCAAATAGCAATCTTGAAAATTTAATGTACTCGTGCAGTATTACTTGTAGTATACAGAGGTTTTGGTGCGAGTACAGTATAGACAATAAAAACTGTAACTGCCAAGTTTTGTTGAATGTATCAATCGATACACCGGCATGCGCGTCTATCAACAAAGGCACAATCGTAACACGTAAACCATACCGTACATGTACCGTACATGCAACTTTAGACCTGTAACCTGTTTACGTGCAGTTTAGAACATTATTCATTTTCCGTCAGACCGCAAGGTCAACTGATCTCGACTAACCATATCTCAAATGATGAACCCGACGTCTACGAACTGTGGTCAAAGGATAAAACCGGTTGTTACAGGAGTACTGTTCGATTTGCATGAACATTAAATCCCTTGATTGGTATTAATTTTGGTAATCTACTGTACATGTAACGAATAGGGAATGTTGTCCAGAATTGTACGCTATACTGCAGGTACATTACGCCACAGGCTAGCGAACATTTGTTACGGTGGTATACAAACTCGTAGAGGTACTAGCAGTGCACAATAAGCGCAATATTATGTAGTACTAGAACCGATGGCCACTACCTTACAGTTATCAGAATAATAATTAATTAATTTTGATGCAACACCTGCATTATTAATTCAACTGCAAGTAAGTACGTATTTTACAAGTAAAGCAACAAAGAAAACATGATAAATCTGAGTACTATAAGAACTATATAAATATCTGACATGCACCTGCCGGCCATGCCTAATTCGTGTAATGCGTATACAAAGCGGTGCGGCGCGCCGTGGTAAGGAGATTGACGTAATCCATAAACGTCCAATCTTCGCTGTCTTTAATGCGCCTATAATTTCACAACAAGCTTGTACACATGCCGTCTAGCTTGCAAAAAAAGGGGCGGAGACTTGCGGCTGTGGTATTTTTTGTCATGTCAGTCCACTTGTCTACCTGCAAGTGGCCTTACTATTGCGGCAAAACATTCTGTTTCCTGTAGATTCCAACGTGAATTGGTGTTTTACGAACCCAAAGAGTATGGGTCAGATTGGCTCTGACTTTTTCGAATTTGCTCGTTGACCACGAGATCACGTTGAAACAATTCCATTTTTGAGAAGAAGAGGGGTGTAAAATTGGTTCGTAATAGCTGGTCAGAGGAGAAACCACGGGGAGAGACTTAATTAATATGCCTCTGTATGTACGCGCATAGTACAATCCGCTGGCATTTCAACCACGGCATGGACGCTTGAACTTGTTTAATACACACAGCACATGTATTTTCGCTTTACGATCTTCCTGATTCTGCCGCTTATATAGAATCCCGGTGAATCTTGTCCGTTACTGTTGAAAAGATACAGCTACGTATTTTAATCAATTCTGTTTTTAAAACGATAGTCGTGTTAGTTAAAAACGTGTATTTTTGATCTCGTGTCGCGCTAAATAGTAAGGTAAGAATTATTACGAGTACTGTACTTTGGTTTCCCCGGTAGAAAAACTACGCAGCAACGCGCTGAAACAGTACCTTTACCGTATACGGTTGTACTGTTTCTGATGAAGAGAAAAAAACTAACGAGTTCCCGTTGAATTTCGGGATATAGCAAATTTCAGTTAATGCAGTACTTGGTTATAGCGTACAGATACATTCCTACACCTTGAAATCAATTGAGCCATTCTGCTACGACACCATATATTCGTTAGTAATTTTTGAAAGCTTACCTTGTAAGCATTATCAGAGTGAACCTAAATTACTGTATATAATATTAAACAAATATACAGTTAAAGCTTACACACATTTATTTTAGAAATTATTGTGGTTGATTTTGGCCGCGTTTACGTTGCCTGCAGACTGCAGTAAAATATTCGCACTGCCATTAGACATCCGCCAAATGTAAACGTTGTCTGGAAAGTACTGTACAACAATCTGACGATCGCATTAAATCTTTTGTGGGTTTTTTTTACTTATGCAAGCAGCACGTTCTCAACGCTAAAAGTTGTCAATGTAAGAAATACTTTGGAAATCAAAACGGGCAATCTATGCATATGTTTTCAAAAAAAGTCTTGTGGTTTTTGCTGTTTTCCAACCGGTTTTTATGTTCAAAACCTGGAAACTACAGTATTTTGACATAAACAAGTAATAGTGTAATAGAAATTAGTATAATAAAATATTTATTATGATTTATGATCATACATATTTTTTACTAAATGCATATACGAGTTACTAGTGTATGTAGTTTATGTGAAGTACAGTAATTATGAATGTCCCAGAATTTTATAAACCGGGCGTAAATTCGTCGCACACTTGGAAGCATTAGCCCAATATCAGCGAGATCCAGAGAAAATAATTCTCTAAGTTTTTGCAGTTTTGACACAGTACACAATTCCCTGCAAACTCAGGTTTCTTTCAACACAGTATTGACGAGCGCATGAATCTAGACATCGCATTTATTACTCGTGCGCTACAAAAATTATTTCAACATCCATCTGCTGTCTCGCCATCACAAGCCGTTACAGTAACATTTTCCCCTGACAGCATTACAACTGACATGATACACACAGAGGCGAAGAATTCGCGGTAATCATAAAAACCTTCCAATATCGCATTCCCCCGTCGATCAGCATGTCGACCTTAAAACCCGTTCCGTAATTGTCAATATGGGAAATTTACTGCGCCGCTCCGCCGTCGGTCTACGGCGGCTCATTGAACCCGCGCTTCCCCATAATTCACAGCGCATCGTGTCCTACATTCTTCCTTCATCAATTCTGACATTTTAGCTGTAAGCTTCGGTAATTATTGACAATACCCGGCATTCTCCGGCGCAAATTCCGGGCCATTAACCGGCATAGAAAATCAGCCCGCGGATTAAAGGATTTATTTTCATTTAAATTGATCCTCTAAAGGTCAACACAAATAGATCATAATTAGGGAATTGGGAAAGGTTTTCGGAACAATCATCTGCGTTTAATATTAATAGTGTTGGTCGCTGACTCGCTGTTGACCATATTGGGTAATATGGCGCCGGCGATAAGACGGATATAAGTTTTGTTGAAGTGCTTACGGATCGGGTTTTGTTTTTAATGAAAATTAACGAACAGCACATCTGTCGTGTGTGTGACAAATTAGCGGAACAACACGCACCGTTAACGCTTTATAATCACGAGTGTAGGCAAATTCACGAGGCTCACGTGTTGAATTCCAGTAGAGAGTATTTTTGGCTGCGCGGGCTGTTTTAATAAACATTACCGTTTCACCCCACTGGAAAATTGTACAGAGAATTGCGGTGTGTAAGCATAATTTCCCGATAAATCTTATGCATTTTGTTCTACATATAACACCGTCTTAGTGTCAGCCAATAAAAATAATTTTGTGATCAAAATATAAATGCGTACAACATTTGCAATACGTATCCAAATTATTAGAAAAACAAATAAATGTGTTCACATTCGTGAATATTATACAAATAAATACAAACAACAACATTATTATTAGTAATTAGACTGAATTTTAAACTGCAAACAATAAAACCTGTGCCAATTATATAAAAATAAGCAGTTACCCAATTTTTATACAAGTATAGTTGTACTACAGAGTAATTACATATTAAATAAAGGTATAATAAATTTTATACAAGTATATTTATTCCTGTATGTGTACCAAATCTTAATACAAGTAGAGAAGTTTTAATACAAGTATAAATAATTA